TATTTTTTGTTCAACGTTGCGACTTATCTTATATTTAGTGAGGCTTGTTCCCCTAATAGCACTGTATTTTGTTATGTGTAATGGCATTTTTAGCTACAAATGTCGCTAATTATTGTGTATATAATGACATTGGTTCTAACAAATGTCGTAAATATCTACTCTGTTAGTGGCAATTTTCATCCTTGTCGACACCTTTTCGCCCGGGCGGGGAAAAAACCAACATCGCCTTGGGGGTTTTTCTTTGAAAAGATTTTGAAATGTGAGGAGTCGCCACCAATCATTTAAGGTGCGATTGTGACACAATAAAATCAAGTTATTTTAATAAAACATTTTTATTTTTATCAAAATATCAAGTTTTAGGGTATGCAAAAATCCAGAAATCAGGTTCAGGAGTCGATTACATGTGGGAAGGATTAGCACTTCTACAATACCCAAAGATTGGTACCTAGTTGATTACCCTATATTTTGAATAAAAAATTTTGAGTTCGAACTTTATCTAATTTAAAAATCATTACGAATGCAAAGTTGAAAGGGTATTCGTTTATTAATGCCAACAACATTCGTTCCCTAGCATAAATACGGGAGATCAACCATTGTGCCCTATAACCGAACATTGCCTTAAATTTAGAAATCATGATGCGGATTTGAAATGGATGTCAACCGATTTTGGCAATTACCAGTAGTCACCCCCTGAGCATACTTTCAAGAGATACACTACTAACTCCCTAATAAGCGAACATTGCCTTAGGTTTAAAAATAAAATGTAATCAATTTTTTTTATTATTCCTAATTAAACTAAGGGAAAATTAAGGCTCTCTCTATCCTAAAGTGCCAAAATATGAAAATTGAATAACCTAAAGGTGCAAACCTAGAAATGTAGGTTCTAATATTTACCCTATTTGATTTTAGTCAAATATTTAATTGAATAATCGAGATGGTCCCTGGAGCATTTAGGCGAGGGTCGACTCGAATTATTCCTTAAATTAAGTGGACTATATTGAAATATAGCTAGAAGTGGAGGCTCTATTTAACCTATTTAACTATATTAATTTAAAAGTCTAATTAAAGTTTAGGGGACTAAAGGGTAAAAGAACTAAAATCCAGAGTTATAAAAACTAAAAATTCAAGGGCCTAAATTTACTAAGGACTAATTAGCAAATCAAAATTCTAAGAATTATCTAAATTAACCTATTAGAAATTAAGGGGTTAAATTAAAAGAGATTTAGAAAATTAGTCGACGATTAATAAATTAAAAGTTCGAACAACCTACTCGAGTAATCAGGCATCTTATGCGAAAACTCGGCTCTAATTGCTCCCTAATTAAAACTAATGTGCTATCCTAATTACTAGATCCGATTTGGTTTACCAACTTAATCTAAGGACGAAATCTAAAAGATTAGTTAACTAAAAACTATGAAATACTAAATCAACTAATTAACCCAATTAAATAAATTAAAATAAAAACAAGCAAAAGCATCAAAGAAATAAAAAAGGATTGACTTGTATTAATATTAAATTACAGGGATTAAAAATAAATCAAACATGTAATAAGGGGTAAATTAAAATGAATTAAAATTTAATGACTAAATCTAAACAAAATAAAAAAGGGGTTAGTGATTGAAATGCAAAAACACACTGGAGTTGTAGGGACTAGAAACTAATTATCCACATTTTTTAAACCTAAACTACCCTATTAAATAAAAATGAAAAAATTACAAAATTAGTTCGGCCAAATTTTTAAAAAATAAGCAATCACTACATATGACAAAAATGCAAAAACATGCTAAACACAGAGGGACTAAACAACAAATAAGCAAATAATTACATAACATGCAAGGAAAAGGGAAAATAACATTTTTAGTCCTCACAGATGACTAGAATGCAAAAATGTGCTAAACTTAGAGGGACTAAACAATGAATAAACCAATAATTACATAACATGCATATAAAAGGGGAAATACCAGATTTGATCCCTACAGGTGACCAAAATGTAAAAACATGCTAAACTCAGGGGGACCTATGCGTTATTTTACCCTAAAACAACCTAAACATGCTAAACACTGTCGCTCTGACCACTGCTTTGACCGCTACACACGGTGGTCGAAAAACCTAAACTAGCCTAAAATAACCTAAATCTCCAGATCTACTAACCTAGACCCTTATTTGGGGGCTAAAACCGCCAAAAATACCTCCTAAATGCAAAATCGAACCCTCAACACTACTCTCTTCTCACTTCGGCCGCAGTGGAGATAAACTAACCCTTCAGTTTATTTCCCCTCTCCAGGTAACCACTCACTCTTCTCTTTTCTCTCTTTTTTTACTGTAATCTTGGATGTTTGTGGTTTTTGAAACTAAAAAAAGTGTTTCTCCTTTTTTGTTGTTGTTCGAAACCTGAAAAATGTTTTTTTATTCGAAACTTAAAAAAACAGAAAGAAAAATAATACCTTGAAACATTGTTTTTTATTGCTTCTGAATAAAAAGGAACCCCAGATCCCTTGTACACTTTTTGGATTTGGGTTTTACACCCAATGTTACAGAGTTTTCAAAAAATAACAGTAATTACACTTTTTTTATTATCTGTTGCTATGTTGCGTAGAGTGTTGGAGCAGCTTGGTGGTGGCGTGCTAGAACAACTGAGGTAGTGATTGGGGCGGTTACACTAGAAATAGTGTTAGGTTTGTTAGGCTCCAATTTGGGCTCGGATCGGGTTTAATTTGGGGCATGGTTTGGGTTTTGATTTTGACCTAGTTTAGGTTTTGGTTTGGTTTGAATTCTAGGATTAGTTTGTGACCTAATTTATGGTTTAGTTTGGGCACATTTTAATGTTTGGTTTTGGCCCGATTGGTAAACGGGTGTTGTAATAATTATAATAATAAAATAATGAACATATATAATGAGAAAAAAGGTGATTACAACTGCTCTTCTTTGCTTATTGTTGTGGAACGAGAATGAAGTAAATATAAAAAGTGTCATTTTTTCGACTCAATCTCTGGTTTGCGAGCTTTTCTCATTATGAACCCCTCCAAGCTGATCCCCTTCTTTCTATGACGGATTCAAATAAAGTGATGGTGTAGACCCAACTCCGTATGTGTTGGATAAGCAAAGGTCAGTATTGTTCCAACTCCTTATATGATGGAAACGAGCTAAGGTTGAATAAGTTCTTCTCATTATGAACTTCTTCTCCTCATCGGATGAGTTCTTCTCATTATGAACTCTCTCCTGGAAATGTTAATCCCTCGAGCGAGGTGTCACTGATTCAATTTTATATGCAATGAATCAAGCTAAGGTTGAACAAGTTCTTCTCATTATGAAATTCTTCTCTCTTATCGGATGAGTTTTTCTCATGATGAACTATCCACCAGAAATATTGATCCCTCAAGTGAGGTGTCACTGATTCAACTCCATATGCGATGAATCGAGCTAAGGTGTAATAAGTTCTTCTCATTATGAACTTATTCTCCCTCATCGGATGAGTTCTTGTCATTATGAACTCTCTACTAGAAATGTTGATCCCTCGAGTAAGGTGTCGTTGATTAAACTCCATATGCAATGAATCGAGCTAAGGTTGAACAAGTTCTTCTCATTATGAACTTCTTCTCCCTCATCGGATGAGTTCTTCTCATTATGAACTCTCCACTGGAAATATTGATCCCTCGAATGAGGTGTTGCTGTTTCAAGTCTATATGTAATTAATCAAGTCAAGGTTGAACAACTTTTTCTCATTATGAACTTCTTATCCCTCATTAGATGAGTTCTTCTCATTATGAACACTTCCATAGGAAATGTTGATTGGTTTATCCTCTTTTTGAATAGTTTTAAACATGCAAAAGATTATCATATGTAAGTGATTTGTATTTAAAGTACCCGAAGGTGATGATCAGATGGTCCTTAATTTTGCTACGATCCATTTCCTTTAATGCTGAAAGAAAATATGGACTAATTTTTTTTCCTCGTGGAATCTTTGTTGACTCTTTGAATTCCTATCAGGTATTGAATACTTGATGTAAAATGAATGTGTATGCTCCTACTTTTCAAATGCTTGAATATGCATGATGTGATTTTCGTGTTTTTAGTTTTAAGGTCTCGTAAGCCTTTGTTTTCTTTTGTATCCTCGTTGAGTCATTGTCTTTGTTGACTCCTTGTCTGATATGTAATCCCGACCTTCTTCATTTCTAAGATCAAGACTGATCTCTTAATAATCTATGCATGCCTCTACCCGAGAGCGGCCGGAGATATGTCTTGGAATGAACTGTGTCATTGCCTTTTCATTATTTATTTTGTTATTCGGGCTACTAACATCTCTTGTGTTGCCATCTGGTTAACCATTTGCTTCAATGAGTGTAAGTATTGACCTGGTGGACTGCCTTAGATTCCTATTATTTTATAGGTTAACTAAAAAGTAATACCGATAAATTATTCATTTGGAATTGGATTATGTTAGGATGTTTGTGACACACAAAAATGAATGATTTGAAGATTGAAATGATAATCATGAAATTTATTGACAAAATATAGGTTTTTACTTGAAGTCATGGTATTCGAAAGGACTGAATAGAGACTCTGGAAACAAAAAGAGTATGCCATAATGAATTCTAGCACAAGTGTTCCAGAATCAGTCAATTTGACATCTCGAAACGATCCTCTTTCTGGGAGATCTTAATGTAGCAGAGTTGTTTGCAGATGTGAAGTCTTTCACGAGCTACTAGTATTTCGAGAGGGTTTATTTACCAGATGCCCCAACATCAAAATGCATTTGAGCTGCCATTTCTGGTTTTCAACTCAAATCTTTCCCTTGGTTTCAAGACGCCCTTTGTGGATTTTTATCCTGAACCCTTATTTTCTTTTCTTTTTTTCTTTTTTCTTTTTTTTTCTTTTTCTTAGGCGTAATATTTCTTAACAGAGTGAATTTATTAGGTTTCTCAATACTCTTCCATCGATTTCTGCCAATTGGGCATCCATTTTCTGTGAAAATCTTTTTGGATTGGTGATCTTTTTAAGTACTAGATCCTCTCTTGAAACTCTCTTTGGCATACTTTCTTATCATAGCCTCTTATCATCCTTTTTTGGTATATTTTCCCATGATATATAGCTTTCAACCTCTTCTCTTCAATAAGATTTAGTTGATCAACATGAGACTGAACACATTCTGCCTCATCTAACTCTACTTCTTTCAAGACTTGAAGTGATGGAATTTCAACCTCAATGGGTACAACTGCCACTATTCCATATACTAGAGAGAAGGGTGTTGCCTCTGTCGATGTAAGCATGGTCGTCCTATATCCATATAGGGCAAAGGGTAATTTATCATGCCAAAATATGTTGGTTTTTGTAGCCTTCGTAATGATTCTTTTGATGTTTTTGTTCGCTGCTTCTACTACCCATTCATTTTTGGGTGGTGGGTCATGGAATTGGATGTTTTATCTTAAACTACGCACAGATTTCATCCACCATCTTGTTTTTCAAATTAGTATCATTATCTATAATGATTCTTTCAGGTAACTCATATCGATAGATTATTTATCTCTTTATGAACTTGCAAACTGTAGATATTGTGATACTACAAAAAGAAGCATCTCTACCTACTTATTGAAATAATCAATTGCTATTAAGATAAATTCATTCCCTACATGGAAAACAACCGAGGTGAGCTCATAACATGCAAAGGAGAAGGTGGTGCTTGAATTCTATCTGCATATATATGGCATTTATGGTATCTTCTTGCATAATTGACGCAATATGTATGCATTGTAGCCTAACAGTATCCATACCTCATGATCTTCTTGGCCATAAATAAACCATTTGCATGTGTTCCACATGTTCCTCCATGCACCTCTTCTATTACACTTTTTGCCTCTTTGGCAATCACATATCTTAATAAAACTTGATCATTACCCCTTCTGTATAAGATCACTCCATCAAAGAAGTATCCAGATTCCATTCCTCTGATTGTTTTCTTGTCAATTTTAGATGCACAGGGAGGATATGTTTGGTATCTCATATACTGTAAGATATCGTGGTACTATGGATGGCCATCCACTTCTTCTTCTAGAAGATATCAATGTGCCAGGGTTTCATACACTTGCATCTTTATTGGTATCATGTATGTCTTCTTATTAGCTTTAAATATCATAGCTAATGTAGCCAAAGCATTAGTCATTTGATTGTCTTCTCGGGGAAGATACCTGAATGTGACATCCTAAAAAACTTTCAAATAGTTTGAGGACCAAATTTTGATATTTAATTAGTTTTGGGTCCTTTTTATCCATTCTCCCCTTAGTTGATACACTACTAATGAGGAATCTCCATATACTTTAAGTGTTTTAACCTTTCTTTCAATAAATGTCCTTTACCTCATAATGCATACATCATATTTACCATGTTGTTGGTGCAAAAGAATTTTAATCTTCTTGTGAAATGATAGTATATCTTATCTGGGGAAATCAACACTACCCCAATTCCTTTCCCTAAAGCGCTAGAGGCTCCATCAAAGTACAATGTCTAGGATTTGTTGCCCATGGCGCTTTCTTCTTCAGTGGAAATGCACATCAAATCCTCATCTGGGAAATTGAAGTTTAGATTCTCGTAATCTTCCGAGGCACGACTCACAAGAAAGTCGGCTATGGCGCTCCCTTTTATTATCTTTTGTCTCACATAGACAATATCAAATTTAGACAACAACATCTGTCATCTAGCTAGTCTTTCAGTTAGAGTAGGAGACTCTAGGGATGGAAAATGGGCAGGTCGGGTGCGAATACCCCCTCCCCTACCCCATACCCACCTAATATTTTCAAATCCACCACCTTCCCACCAACCATGATGGGTAAACTTTTTCAAATCCACACCTGACCACGCAAGTACATTCTCAAATCAATCCCCACACCCACTACCTAACTGGAGACGTACCCGGCTAGACCCGCTAACAGTAACCTTAAGTTATACATAAGCAACAAACATAAAACAAACACGTCCATTAAGAAGCATAATAAAATAAGCCAAGGATTATAAGTTATATCTTATACAATATTAAAATTCATAAATTAGTCTCTAAATTTATACCTAAATTCATAATGATCCAAAATTTAATGGGTATTTAGTGGGCGGGCATATGTGGGGTGGGCAGATGTGGGGCGGGTGGATACGGGGCGGGTAAGGTCTCAAACCCATCACCTGCCCACTACTCGCGATGGGTACCACTTTCTAAAACCACAGCCGCCTACTACCCACTAAAGTTATGCCCATCCTCGCCCCAATTGGAGCGGGTATGGTACGGAATCCATGAAATTGTACTCGTTTTCCATCCCTAAGAGGCTCCATCAAAAAAATTTAATGGATCCATTCTCGATATCAGCCACATGGTGTGTTATAACATGTACTGCCTGAGTCTCCAGGCTGGCCAAACTAAAGCAGAACACATCTTTTGAATCAGTGGGTATCGAGTCTCGCAATCGGTGAATTTCTTGTTCAAATAATAAATGGATCTCTTCTTTTTTTTAACTCATCATGTTGCCCTAGCATGGAGCCCATTGAATTCTCGAAGATCGTTAAGTAGAGAATTAGTGGCCTTCTAGGTACTGGTGCTACTAGTATGGGGGCATTGGAAAGATTTTTCTTGATAATTTCCAGAGTCTCTTGGCATTCATTATTTCATACCTCAGGATTATTCTTACTGAGCAATTTGAACACTGGATCGCACTTATCGGTCAACTGAGAAATGAATCAAGATAAATAATATAGTCTTCCAACTAACCCTCTAACTTCTTACACGTGCCAGTTGCTCGAAGGTCTTGAATTGCCTTGACTTTATCTGGATCGATATCGGTTCCTTTTTGACTCACCACAAAGCCAATTAGTTTCCCTGATTTTACCCCGAACATGCATTTGGTTGGATTGAGCTTTAATTAGCACTTTCTCATTATTTGGAACACTTTTCTCAGTTTCTTTACATGTTCTTCTTCTGCTCGGGATTTGGCAATCATATCATCCATGTATACCTCAATTTCCTTATGTGTTATGTCATGGTAAAAGAGTTACTATGGTTCTTTGATAGGTTGCCCCATATCTTTTAAACCAAACGACATCCCTTTACAGTAGAAATTCCCCCCACCCGGTTATAAATGTTGTTTTCTCCATGTCCTCAGGATTCATTTTGATATGATTATAACACAAGAATCCATCCATGATGGAAAACCATGAATTCCCCATAGTGTTGTCCACTAGATTATCTATATGAGGTAAAGGAAAATTTTCCTTCATGCTAGCCCTATTAAGGTCTTGATAATCCATGCACATGCAGACATTCCCATCTTTCATAGTACCGAAACTATACTAGTTACCCATTTGGGATACTTTGAGTTGAGTTAATCGATTGGATGAATCGACCAAGAGGGGGTGAATTGGTATTTAAAATTTTGGTGGAAGCTTTGATAAAAAATTGAAAATATTTGCACAACGATTTAGAGTGGTTCGAATTTCTCAACCAAAGTCTACGTCCACTACCTTAGCTATCCACACTAAGGATTTTCCACAAATTCACTAATTTGTCTTTCTTTTGAGGACAAAGCGTAACCTTACAACTCCCTCAAGAATTATACCCCAAATTCTTGAGAACACTCTCTCTTATAAAGAAACTTACAAATTTTGCAAACTTATAGAAAAGCCTCACAAGGTAGAACAATTCTAGAACAAAGAAAGAACACTCAAAGATAAATACAATTGAGCATAAAGTGTGTTCTTGAAAGGATTTTGGCTTGAATTACTCAAACTTGAGGTTTGATGCTTTCTCTCTTGTTTCTATCTCAATTCTTATGTAATTCTTAATCACCAATGGCTTTAGAACTTATTTAAATACACCTTAAATGAATTCTGAATGTTGGAAATCTTGGTGGAGCCAATATAGTCGTGGTGGTGTGAAATCCACTTCAAAAACTGTTGGGAGTGTATGGGCATCGATACTCCTTCATAGGGGTATCGATACTACATGTATAAAATTCAAATATTTTGACCGTTGGAAAACCAATGGTATTGGTACCTCTCAAAGGATTATCGATACTACTATGTAAAGAGGTATCGATACATGTCATGGTATCGGTACCCATTTTGCATTCTGTTATTTCTCGGAGTCAAAATCAAAATGAGGGGTATCGATACCCTCTAAGGTATCAATACCTCTTTTGCATTCAATGTTTGAGGGGTATCGACACTTGTTAAAAAGGTATCGGTACCTCCCGATTAAAAACTCAATTTTGACTCGATTATGGTTCGAAATACTTTGTAAAAATTATTTCAAAAATATTTTAAGAGCGAAACACAATTTTTCATTTAAGTAAGGAGTAAAATTTGATATTTGAAAACTTGGATTAATATTTGTGATATTCGATTAATTTAATCGAATATTATATTTAAATTGAATATAAAATCTTAAAATTAATTAACACTTTATTTGTTATATTGAAATATCAAAATGTTTTCAACAATCTACCCCTTTTTGATATAACAAAACATTTTAGAAATTTTAAGATTTTATTTAGAAAAATCTTTTTTAAAATTACTCCCCACTCCTCCTTACTATATTCTCTCCCTTTTTTTAAATAAAAAAGACTTTATGATTTATTTGAAAACAAGTTTTCCAAATTGATATTTATAAATGTTTGTAGCTGCTAAGATCAAAGTGAAGAGAAATATTAGCCATTAGTCCACAAAATCAATATTCATAAACAATATGCGATAAGAATTGGTCATAATTGATCTAAAATAAAAATGATGCATAATCTAACATAAAATTTAATTGAAGTTCAAAATACTAATAATCATTCATAGTATCTCAAACAAACAACACAAAAAATTTAAAAAAAACAAATATTCAAAACAAACATCCAAATATTCAAATACATAAATTCATCAAAATGTTTAAAACAAAGTTAGGTTCAAATATGGTTCAACCTAAGAAAACTAGCAAGAGTTGTCAATCATCCGTAGGAGGATCAAGATCAAATCGATGTTCTCTAAGGAAAGCAACATCGCATGTTAGTGTATCGATTCTCTCGTCTACACATTGAATCGAATATCCATTTCTTCATATTGAGCTCTATTTTCCCTTTGATTCTCCAACTGTTGAGTTCCCATAGCATTCAAATGGGACTCTAAGGATGTGAACCTCAAATCCAATGTATCCATAAAAGACTGAAAGTATGGAGGCATTGAACTATCTTGCCTGGCTGGCTCTTCCTCGGTCTGGTTTACGGGATCATCGACATCCCGTAAGAGGTATTCTAGCTCTTGAGCCGGAGACGGAGCCGGAGCAGCTCATGAGGAGCTAACACTGGGGGTTTCTTTGTTGATCGAACCAATTGGTCTTTGTCTCTAGTCCATCCCGATTTTTAGAAAGATGTTTTGTTGATTTATGTGGTTAGAGGGATGGCTACGTCTAATTCTACCTTAAGACCAGCTTTCATAAACATATTACTAAGTAGACATCAGCAAACTAATATTTCAACACGTTTAGAAGGAATGTTGTTTACGGTTTCTACGAGTTCCCCAAAGATAATTTAAGAGAGATTTATTTTCTTATTTTGTTGGATACAATGTATCCACCATAAGTTAAGAGCTCTAAGAGTGGAGTATTTTCCTCCAGATGGTCTAAACCACCAAGAGATGATAAGATGAAGAAAACGTTTGTGATAATCTAAAACACTCGCACTAGACTTGGCTTTATAAGGGGTAGGCACTAAATCTCGCTCATTATCTAACCCTCGATTATCTAGACCAAATACGTTAGCTATATAGTCTGAGTCTATAGTGATGTATTTCCCCAAGAGATAGGAGTGAATACTTTCAGTTGCGGTTTGGGACTCATTTTGTACACACACCGCATTGGAGTAGAAAATATGAACTAGTTGGTGATAAACAACTAGTTCAATCTTAAAATGTTTATCAAATTTC